GCGCCTGCTTGGGCTAGTTCAGTCCTGCTAAGCGTATGACATATTTCGGGGGTTTTATCATGCCAATGCCTTCAAGAACCTCAGGTGTCTCTCTATCCGAAAACATTATTGATTTTAGTCATTCCGACTTTTTGAAAAACTTAGGTATCTTCCTATCCGTAAATATGGTCAATTGAAATTCAGCCACAGTAGTGCACTTCAGTTGATTGATACTTGCCTGGTGGTTTACTACTCTAGGGAAATTGTCTTCAGGATTGTACAGCTCATTTAAGTGGATCAGTTTCAATGTTTCCGCACTTTTCAGATCTAAAAAAGATGAAGGAGCCGGAACGTAACCCGGGAAAACTTGTAGCAACTTCGCTCTAAAAGAAACTCCTTTTGACCGTCAGCCTTCCAGACTGCTTTCGTTGTCGTTTTGTTGATCCTAGATTTACAAGTGCAGTGCACTGCACTCAACTTCAGCACTTACCGGAATCACTCCCGAATCCTTCTGGCCTCCAAGAAATTCAGACTGCAATTTGAATCAGTATTTTTCGGCCCAAAGTTGGGTTTGTATGTTAGGCGGAGGGCGGTTTGATCGACCAAACTTCGGTCGGTGGCGATGCGATGAAGGCCATATGTCTTGCGAGAGTCACAGGGTGTGTTACATAGCAGCGTTTCTCTGGCAAGAGACAAAGTATCGGCGAAAATAAATGGTGGCTGGTCGAGGTGTGTCGGGTGCAGTGTGCCATTGTGACAACAGTGTTGAGATGTCAGCCATCATATTCAAATGATATTTTCTTCATCACAAACCTCATGACACGCCCTACTTTGTACTTCTCTGACGGCTTGTCATATTTCCGACATTTCGTTATAATGCTGGTCTTTTTTATGTAATTCATCTGAGCACACCCTTACATTCCAATCTCTTCATCGTACTCAACGATAGCCGCGCTTGCTTGACAGCCTTGGCTTCGTTCCAAATTGAATGAACGAACAATGTTTGCCCTGCTATATTCTTGCAGTATATAAGAACAGTGTCCTTATTTCATGAAGTCATTTGTTTACTCATTTATTTACATCGTAATGTGTGATTTGCACTGCAGAAATATCATTCAGTCTATACAGTACAGTACTAAGAACCTCAGGAAAGGCTCCTAGCTATCCATTGTATATTCCGGAGGAGAAGGAGGATACTTATGATTGGACGCTTGTAAGGTAGTACTCCTCACAGGGCACGTCCTGCCACTGGCGAAAATCTTCTGCAATAAATACCCAGTTCTAATTCCCTCCCCTGATATGACCCCCCCCCTTCCATTCCCCATCCTACTTACGTCCTACACTTTCCTAGATTTTATCAGCTTCCTACCACTTTCTCCATTCCAGTTTTCGTGGACTTTCTCGAGGATTTTCTAATCTTCCCAAAATTTTGCTGTTGAGGAGGGGGTATAGCACACGTGAAAACATGGAAAGCAGCGAAAAGTCATCAACAGGGAAGAGTTTTTTCTCAACGGCGCAAATTTCTCTCAAAGGCAACTAAGACCCCTTTCTCTCCCAACAACAACTAAATACACCCCCCCAAGGCGTCCGTAAAACAGCAAAAACCAACTTTCGAAAAAATCTTCACGTGCAATACGATCCTCCTCCCCCAGCGAACAAATACGACCCCTCCCGTTTGGGAATCCCCAACGATGATGTGCCGTGGGCTGCATCAACCTTTCGCACTAGAGCGAGAGATCCTCATAATACTGAGGTCCCTGACGGTTTGACCTGAACGAAGGCATTTGTTAAGGTCAAACCGTCAGGGGACCTCAGTATTGGCGAACCTCAAGCAGAGAGTTTTCCGTCATACTCTGATACCATCAAACCAGTGTAGAACAAGGAATCAGAGTAAACAATTTGAAAAGAAATTTCAGAATTCACTCCAGGGTAGTCATTATTTCCACAAAGGGAGTTGTTAATAGCGCCCTGACGTTTCTCTGAAGGTCAATTAACCGCACTTTTGGACAGCAAGATCGCAGAGATT